AAAATATGGAATTCTGAGATTTGCAAGTGGTTTGGGAAACAGATTTAAACTTTGTCTTTATTCACCTTTCCTTTGCTCAAAAAACATGTCTGAAGCATAATAGATTAAGGAAACTCTCATTGCTATCTTTGCTTTAATCACTCTTGTAGGTATACATCCTGCGAATCGATTTTCTACCTAATTACAAATCTTTGCGCTGTTATCTTTGTGATTTTACCTTTGGATTCTAAATCTTATGTATACCTGATATTTCTGTCCTACTGTTTTTTTATGCTAAGCTTTTTCGTAATCTCTCTTCTTCTCTTCATATGTAATATTCTATTGTGTTTAGTTGATGATTTACAAATCGTTATGATTGACGCTATCTTAGCAGAAATGCTTATATGTATGTTTGTTCTCGATTTCTAGCTCTTCGATTATATGGCTACAGTTATAGGGCTGATTGTAAATATATATTCATTCGCAGCAAAACCTTTGACATGATTGGTAACTAATCAATGAAGGAATACGATTTGAGGGTTGGTGACTATCTGGTATAACATGGCACGTGATAGAAAAAATTGCGTTGTCGCATTAAAATAACGACTGAGTACATAGTAATTTGGATAACCGCGAAATTAGGTGTCAGTTTCACTCCACGATGTGCGATGGCAAACAGGCACTATAGAGGATTTGAATGCAAGACTTGGCGCAAATGGGGAGAATGAGCAGCAGACTAGTAGAGCTGAAATAGAATACGAAGACTTTGATCCGTTTGAAGCGCTAGGTGAGCATCAATATAGAATTATGTCTGTACTTTATCCTGAAGCGCAACTTATTTCAGGCACAGAAGTAGAGCATAAGTGCACCTCTTGCGGATGGTCCTTGAATGAAGAGGATCGCGACGCGATCATAGGACACTATAGGAGTCAGTGGCACAGGTAGTTCTTGCTGTGTTTATTGGTAATTCCACGGTTAATATATCTCGTAAGTACACACTCCTTAGACGTGGTCGTCGTCAGAAAACAAAAATGTTTCCTAATCACACTTTTTCGGTTCGGGCCGCACACCCACCTTGCGTAGGGTCAATTCCGCGTTGTTTTCGCTGTTTGTCTAATCCCAACCGATACTCTTCAAAATTGATGCGTTAATTTTTTCACGAGTTTCTAGATGGTAGTAGTTGCACTGGGATAAGTTGATGTGCTAATCACAAAATAATAAAATTCAAAGATTTATCAATCAGCTATATTGATTTATTGATTTTTCGCATGATTAGATGGATATGCTGGTAAGGGTTAATAACCATTCGAAGGTTCATCCGTCAGTTCCATT